CATCTATGCCATTGTGATCGATTCTGAGCCATGTCACCACGAGTCTCCAACCATTGGTTACGATAGTCATGCGGACCACAACCAAGTAGTCTGCATCTACCAACTATGTTGCATACACCATAGTATAACTGACCTCTGTCACAATCACGATGCACATGCATAATCGATTTTAACTTAAAATCAAAACTTCTGAAAAAGTCATATCGAAAACTTGTGAGTAGTGGAGGCCTTGAGACTTCATCTTTTTACCACCGATCTCACTACGATCCTAATACTATTACTATGATCATCATCATCATTGAAAGAAGTAGTAGTGGTTATTAATATTTTATAATTGTTATGAACATCTGTTCGTCCTTTCTATACTTTTTTATATTCGTCAAACAGTCAAGTATCATTTCATAATTTTTACACATAATACCATTCCATCTTACTCTTCCCTTCTATGAATCCGGTGTTCGTCTTGCAGTGCTAATTGAGGTGTGTCAACTTGAACCGATGCATGTATGCGCCTGATCCTACGTTGTAAGTGACTAACTCTTACTCTTTCTCAGTATATAAGTTACCTGTACATTGGTACAATGTAATTAATAATATTTTGTTCAAATACAATCAAACTTCCTACTAAAGTCATTTGAAAATAACAAATTTCATTGATAACACAAGTTATTTCCAGCTGACAATAGTAAAAAAAATTGATAATGCATTATCATATGTAACTTCCTAATTAATAAAACAAGTAAATGATAAAATGGATATGAATGTTTGAAATACATTTTGTACTAATTATTTCCGATATATTTAACAGTATCTATTATCATCTGTTATACATTACGTTTCTGTAAATAAACAACAAACAAACATTATTTCAAATTCAATGTAGCAACAACAACAAGAACAACAACAAAAAATCAATAACTTAATTAAAGGTTTGTTTATCATTTTTTTTGCCAATATCATAAAATTTTCATGGTGTGTGTGTGTGTGTGTGCATGGTATCTTTTTGTAAAGCTTAAACATTATACTAAACTATTCCAAATGTTAAAAACAGTGCAATAAATATTCAAGTTTAATTCTTTCGTTCTTTGTTGTCGCTTTTTTTCTCTCTAATTTTGAAAATGGAACTTAGTTGTGTTTTCCCTCTCGTTTTTCTCTTGAACAGATATCTTTTATTATCAATAAATAAAGCTTTAATAGTAAGTAATATATTGTGAATTCATAGAAAAAAAAAACAAAAGTTGTGTTTTAAAAAAATGAGAAAAAAAACAACAGGACTTTAGTACGTGAACATGAATGTGACAAAGTTTAATTATCACCTTAGTTGTTCGTTTTTTTTTACAAAATTATTATTATTATTATTATTATTATTATTATTATTATTATTATTATTATTATTATTATAGTCTAATGTGGTATTGTGGTGTATGCAGATATAAGTAGTATATAACACCAGTCGGAAGTGGAATGTCTGTGAGCAGAAGATTGAAATGAAGAGAAGTGTGTAGAAAACTGAAAGCAATGAAGATAACAACAGGAATGTGGGAACAATGAAGCCTGTAAAAGACAATTCAAAGATGTATGATTTTCACATTTTACTATACCACTGAGTGATTATGCATTGAACAGTAGATTAGTTTTCCCCACCTAAGTCTTCATTTATAACAGTATTATTATTTATTTTATTTTATTTTAACACAGATATTGGTAAAAAGGGGCACTGTATACATGTGCGCCACACAAATCATTCGACTTGTGTGAGGGATGTGATACTACCTGGGTGCACAAACCGAAGCAGGTGATTTTCTTAGGAGAACACATACGGAGCGTTCGACCTAAAGGTCTGATGCACAAGGCAGTGGAGCATCGTAAGGAAGTGCAGTCCCATGGTAGTCGGTGACCAACAATTGGTTCATACTTCATTTGTTCCTTCAAGACACTGGAGCCTATGTGCACCATTGGTTTGCAATCAGGGTTTTCCAACTCTCACAGGTGGACTCTCCGTGTCCACCAACCCGGTTAAAGCGCCGGAAATTCGCTTTTCGTCCTCTCAATTCCGTAAACAACACCCCTGTCACAAGAAGGCAGTGAGTAGGACTTCTTTGGCAGAGGCTATGGCCATGTGAGAGCATTTCGCGAGGGTGAGCAGACTCTCCCCACTCTCGGCCGTACCAGGGCATTTGGGTGAAATAAATTCCTACGTAATTATGTCATATCAAAGTAAATGTAATATGAATTTATAGTTCTTAATGACATTTTTATCAACAGATTAAATGAATTCAAACTGCACATAGACAGACAATATCAATATAAAACTTGGCATAGATGTGCGTTGGCCCAAACTACCAAACCAGATTACCATAACGAGATGAAAATAAGAAAAGAGACCGAAATAATCTAGTAATAATAACGATAAAAAGAAGGACTAAACCAAGGGAATATGGTTTTAAAAAAGAAGTATTCAGGTATGTATGAAAAATCGTAGAATTAACTAAAGATTGAAGGAAAGATGCGGAGTGAATGTATCTGTGTTATATTGCACTTTATAGTATTTCATGATGACTGATTGAAAATAATCCAGATCGCAGCTTGGATGTTTTTCTCTACTGAACTACATCAATACACTTATCAGTTGAACTACAATGACTGAATTAAATATGACCAATCAACATCTAATTGGAACATATTAATTCATCGTATTACATGTGCATAAGAACATGATCATGTTGACAGTAAAAAATACCATTCACATGAAATAGTAAGTTTTTTAAAAAACATAAACTCGAAGTTCAGAGAGTAAACTAACAATTAAACTGGTGTGTATAACTCCCCGTGAAACATAGAAATATACCAGCCGGAAAAATATAAACAATAAATGATTCGGCACTAGATATGTGTCAGTGTTCTTAATATCTACACTTTAGATATGCAGGATCGATGATAGCATACTACTGCACAAAAATTACAGCAATCTATCTAATGAATGGATATGAACAAAAGTATCCCTAGTGAAAACCATTTGACATATTCAATTTATTTAATAGGATACAGTGTGGTGTATGCTACTTATAACGACAGACATAAGTAGTATGTAACAGGAATCGAAAGTGGGAACCTTGGCAGCAGAAGGTTAAGAAGATCAAGATGAGGAAAACACAACGGGAAATAAAAAGGAATTGCCAATAGGAAGAATCATATTTATTTATTCATTATTTATTTACTTTAGCATATAAATATTGGTAAAAAGAGGCACTGTATACATGTGCGCCACACAAATCATTCGACTTGTGTGAGGGATGTGATACTACCTGGGTGCCCAAACCGAAGCAGGTGGTTTTCTTAGGGGAACACATACGGAGCGTTCGACCTAAAGGTCTGATGCACAAGGCAGTGGAGCATCGTAAGGAAGTGCAGTCCCATGGTAGTCGGTGACCAACAACAGGTTCATACTTCATTTGTTCCCTCAGGATTCTGGAGCCCATGTACACCATTGGTTTGGAATCAGGGTTTTCCAACTCTGTGTCTACCAACCCGGTTAAAGCGCCGGACATTCACTTTTCATCCTCTCAATTCCGTAAACAACAATAATGCCGCGAGAAAGCAGTGAAGCACAAATGAAATAATCAATGTGCGGTTCTCATATTTTACCAAGGTGTTATGTAATTTTATACAAAAATAAATTTGGTTGTCCGCATGTTTTCTCGTTCATTACAATAGTAGGATTATATTACGGTTTTCTTTTTTACTACACTCAAATTTATAAAAGGAAGTACATAAATGAAGCATTTAAGTCCAATATTGAGTTCTAATAAGATTTTAAAATTAAGTCGGTTTATTACAATCAAGTTCAATCACGTAATAGGTTCACTTACACAGATCACATGTGTCGTGTCACAATATTATATAACGTGGATTAAAAGTGCAAAATTAACAATAAAAATCAGAACGATTTGTAAAGAATAGTTTTATTACACACTATCTATCACTTACTCTAGACTAACATCACGGCGGTGCCAAAGATGGCGCAGATTGGTACATGGCGCTCTGGTTTTCACTATATGTGAATTGATCTCATCACTCACTCTACTATCAGCTATTCAGATACACGAAATCGACTATTTCTAACTGCTTACTACCAAGAGTGAATGAAGATGCAGGGTCCTGCCAGTCTTGTGAAAGTACTTTGCACTTCGAAGGTGCAAACAACATACCATTCCTACAGATACTTATTTCCAACTGATTAACTGCGGATTGCATGGCTTGAGTATTATCGCACAGCAATACAATGTCATCCGCATATTCAAGGCCGAGTTTTTCTCCAAGCAACAGATCTACACCACTGTAACCTACGTCGATTAGAGCTGTTTTCAGAACGTCATCGATAGCAAAACTGAACAGTAGTGGTGAGATTGGGCAACACCAATGTTTGAATGGAATCATAGAGAGGGATGGTTGCATGCACTCAATCTGCCTAAGGTATTTGTATGTATGGCCTTCAAGCTGTCAATAAACTTCTCCGGTACACCCTTCTTCAATACACAGTTTCAATGAGCAGCCCTATCCAACGAATAGAAGGCGGCCCTGACCTCAACAAAAGCAGAGATTGTTGGCCTGCAATAAGTATGGCGGTGTTCTAACATTTAGCGGAGAGCTTGGATTACATGACTTGAAATCAGTTGTAATGGATCATTTACATTCATTCTCCAATTCATGAATCTTGAGCTTAATAACACTAAAACCTTTTTATTCTTCGGTTTTATGCGTTCATTTTAACTCTCTTACATTGAGTGATGTTTTTATTTGTTGATTTCATTGTACTGTGTTGATGTACAGAAAGGCAACTTGAACTGCTCTAAATATACGCTGAATCTTAGATTGTTAATACTAATGATTTACATTTTCGAAACTGTTCAAACAATTCACTGAAAATCCACTAAAACACACAAACCAACATGTCCGCGACTAAGCATCTGGGGTAGCTTCTTAGTCTTTTCTTTTTTTTTGAGATAAACTTACCAATATTTTTCGCTTATAATTTAAATCTAAAAAACTTGATTTCATAAAATACGTAGGTTTGAGATTAGTAGTGAAATTCAGAACACGCGTCTAGTTTTATTTGAGACACGCCGGATGCGTATACCTGCATCTAAATTTATGTTCACAGTGGGACTCAAGCCTGGAACATTTCGTTTCATATGCTACTGAGTCCAGTGCTATTAGAACAGTAGCGATTTGTCTATTTCTTTGTATTACTATTAATACTATCATATCAGTATAAAGATGTAGGCTTGATCACATGTGACAGCCTACGCACATAACTCTCTAGCTTAAATGTTAGTCAGTTAAATATGCTTGAATCCTTTTAATTGCTTAGCTTTGATTTGATTGTGTATTCACTTGCTCGTGAGCATTAGCTTTTCTGCTCACATTCACTTGAGGTGCTTGTAAGATTTTTATCTGAACTCACCATTAATAAACTGTAGTCGGTGTTTCGTGTTGCTTTTTGAATTCAGTGTTGGAATTTAACGGTTATCAGGACAATTGGTATAAGAAACCTAAAGAATTGTCTCGATAACAAGCCACTCAGGATATAGAGGATGAGATTCACACAAGTTTTAATAATGACACTAATAAACTTGGATTTGAGGAAAATAAAATAAAAACCTTCTGATATGAGCTTAGATAACATCATATGGAATATAAACCTACCTACACAAAAAAGAACGTTTAATCAGTCACATAAAAATTATAATAATGAGTAAAAAAGAAGTGAACTGAACATACCAGTCATCGTCAGATTTTGACACAACCGTATGAATAGAGGACGTGCATAAGAAGGCAAGTTCCCTGTAAACTCTTCATTTATTCGACAAAGCAAATTTTCTTCCTCTATAGAAGTAAGTTTTGATCCTTCTAATGCAATAGCAGCCATTCCAGCTTTCCCCTCTGTCCCAGGAATAGAAACACCGAATACAGTCCCAGTTAATGTTCCAATAGCTTGATCTAAAACACGTTCAACTTCTGAAGTGGATACATTTTCCCCATGCCATCTAAATGTATCACCTAACCGATCGATAAAGTACATATAACCCAATTCATCACAACACATTAAATCCCCTTAAATTAAAAGAGAATAAAAAATGAGTTTAAGTATTTTCTTTATGGGCCAATTCAACCAAAGAGTAAATTTTAGTCTCAAAAATATAATTTATGAATAGTAATTTTGTATGATCTATTTTTGAAAAACAAACAAATTTGTATTTAACTTTTGTCAAACAATTTATTAATATCAGATGGGTTTTTTTGTGGAGGTTGTAGTAATTTCAATGGTTAAGATCATGAGTCAGTGCTTCCAGATTTTTCATGGTGGTCTAGCTTCAACTGACTTATGATCTTAACCATTGAAGCAATTTATTACCAAACTGTCTCTTACATATTACCATATATATTTGAGCACAGTAGTTATAAATCACATCATCGCCTGACTAACGTTTTAGTAACTCTCATAGATAACATTTTTGTCACCGGATTAATAATTAACATCGGATCATACTAGTAATTATTATTTAAATATTTATAATTCATTATCGATATGTTTCACTAACAATAACATTACTTTTAGAGCTGAAAAAGAAACAAATTATATATGGTAACTTAAAATTCAAAATAAAGCTATTTGCGATGATGAAGATTTGTAGCTCAAATGGATGATTTAGGTGAAGTTCTATTTTTTGAGCTGGATGATTTGGATGTGAATGATGTTGTTCAGAAGAACAATTAAAGCTCCACAACCAAACCATCCAGTTCAAAGAACACAACTCCACCTAAAACCTATGTACATCAAAACAGTGTATTAAAAGTATCATAATTTGAAATAGGTTTACTCCTTCCTTCGGTTACAATTAAAACTTCATATTGATTTATGTTTAATTAAAAGACATTCGACAGATTCAAAATTGATTTTAAAAAAGTGATAACAATGTTGTATGGTTTAGTAGTTAAACCGAAGGACATTCAATCTAATAGGGTAAAATGATTCTAAGATTATTCATCTACTTCCGTTTGAACAAATCAGTAACAACACAAACTGTGGTTCAGAGCTGAGTACAACATATAGTATTAGATGGAGTTACAGTGAGTTAAAGTTGATTAAGATTGTAGGTATCATTACCAAGGTTTGATTTGATCATTTCAAATAAATTAAGCATTGGGTAGATTGTTATGTTCCACTGTATTATTTAAACTTGGATTAATTTTAATTTGGATATTTATTCGCTGAAGAAGTGGCATACACTGAGTCACGAAACGTCAGAAAATCTATTTTTTCCTACTTATTGGGATATTAAAAATATATTATTTCTCGTTGATTAAGATTATTTTAATAAAAGTACGAATGGATTAATAACGAAGTATTTATTCGAACCAGTAATTAATATAACACAACATAAAATCAGGTATGTACGTAACACATTCGATACTGTGATATTACTATGATTTTAAAATCTATGCCAGTACCAATTAGCAACGTTACCAAGAATTATTCCAAGCATAAATGTGAATCTAAATGATTAAACATTCACAAGACCAAAACTGGTGTCTGAAGTAGCAGTCAGTCAGCTACAACATGGGATCAGACACATATATGCATCGGTCCAAGATGCCATGCCTCATTAAAACAACAAGATCAACATCAAATTCATAAAAGCAGTTAATTCAGTGGTGGTAATATATAAAAGAAGGATTGCAATAAGGATATAGTACAAGAGGGAATTACTTCGTAGAAAGAAAGATATGGAGCAATTTTAATCTGAGTTCAAAGGAAAACAGAGAGTGCATACACCGACGCCATTCTAATCGATTTTGAGCCATGTCACCAAGTCTCCAACCATTGGTTACGATAGTCATGCGGATCACAACCAAGTAGTCTGCATCTACCAACATGGCTCAAACTAGAAGTTAGTGACTTCAAGCACTGATACCACGTTTTGGCTTGGCTGCCCCTAACTTTCTTCCAACCATGCCCAACACCAATAAGCATTGCGCGTCGTGGTAATCGGTGGTTGGGGATACGTAACACGTCGATGAAGCTTCACAACCTCATTAATTGATTTACCACTATTTTTGAAGTAGCATGATTAAAACGTCACAAAATAAGTTTAGTGGAAAGAAATTTTCTTTCCCAATTAGTTCCTCATCAAGGCTGTACTCTAATACATAAGCTCTACAATTAAGGATAAAATTAAATCCAAATAAATGACGGTTGATCATTTCAGCAACGAATCAGTTAGATACTCAACGGATGTAGAATTAAATCTAAAGATAAGACCACATAATCGGTTAATTAATAACAACTTGTTACGTAAGAATAAGAATTAAGTTCGTTCGAAATTAAGCAATTGAATATAAATAGTTGATGTTATTTTGTAAAATTATCAGTATGTAATTAATAAAATTGCTGCGAGAAAATAAAAATTACGCAATTAGACTATTAAGCTAGATAGATAGATCACGTAAAATAAAGTTATAAATTAAAACTGAATAGAACTGAAATCGATTAATGTCCTTAAGTATTGCACATTGAATAATATTTGATAGTAATTATATTCTATATCTTGTTCAGTAAGGTTTCTACAAGTGACAAATGTGTTATTAGTCAATTATTCAACTTGTTTACGACAGTTTTTAGCAGGATTTAATCAAAACAGTATGACCATGAACAACATAGGTAGTTACATTCAGGAAATTTACAAATGTAATGCATGCATAAATAGGCTGTAATAAGTGTTCGCGCGCGAGATCATTAGGTCCTGAGTTCGAATCCCGCGGGGCGGGATCGTGGATGCGGATTGCTAAGGAGCCCCACAGTAGGACGAAACGGCCATCCAGTGTTTTCAGGTTTTCCATGGTGGTCTAGCTTCAATTGACTCATGATCTCAACAATTGAAACTATTATTACAATTAAGATTTAACCAAAATAGCACAATGATTAAGAAATTATTAACAGTTTGTTTCTACCTCTTCTCTTATTCTTTGATTGACCTAATAACCTATATTATCACTTGTATTCTAAGATTATACAAACAAAATGTATTGAGTTATGTTTGTCCATACGACACTGCTTATTGAAATATAAGAGTTTTCTCAAAAAGACTTACCTCTTACACTGATTGATCACTGAGTATTGATCAATGTTATGTTTATCTGACCTTTATTACTGATCGAATTTTATTGATCAAGCTACAATGTATCCACTAATCTACATGACTGGTTATCATGTGTACTATTTTTATAGGTTAGGTGATTAGAAGTAACAGGTAGAAAACCGTGAACCTAGGTATCGTGTTAATTGGCATTCGTCCGCACATTAGCGCTCATAAAAGAAATGTACCTCTTACACATCCCTATACTCAAAAACATTGTTAACAAAACGTTCAAAGAGTAATTGAATTGAAACAAGTAGCATTTCAAAATAAGCTCACAAAATAGCAATGATATATATTTAATAACTTCTTACCAGAAGCAAACCATAAATCACCCTTACGTAAAACATTTCGAATAATTTTCTTTTCGGAAGCTTCCGAATTAACATAACCATCAAACATTCGAAAAGGATCATTTGAACCAATACGTGCTACCAAATGACCAGGTTCATTTGGTTCACACAGTATGCATAATCCAGTTATGGGATCTCTAATAGGTTCTTTAGTGTCTACATCAATTTTAATGATATAGCATGGATAAAAACCATCAATGATTTTTGAAACATAACCAACTGCACCAAACTGGAAGGAAAGTAAGCAAAGAAAGCAAAACAACGTCGATAAATTCATAAAATAGAGAATTATAATAACTGTTAATAATTTCAAAGATCTTCTACAGTAACATGGGAATGAGGTGATAAAATTTACAAAAAAAATCAACTTTGGGTTATAATAATTCTTTTCGATTAGTAGATCAAAGTAGACAAATAATGCCATCTTGTAACTCTTGTACTCAAGTAGAATTTTAAAAATTTCATATTATGCCTAATCAGAAATTTAATCACGTCAATGAAATCAACGACATGATCGACTAATCAATGTACCATTTTATGATAGTATACGCTAAAGATTGATAAACATCCCAATAAACATTAAAAAGTACAATTAAATAAATCCATATTTTCAGAATAGTGGTTTGTGGGAATTGTGGGAATTTTAACAGTGAACTTAATGAGTCGATTTAACTAGACCACCACTGAATACCTGGAAGCACTTGACGGCCGTTTCATCCAAGTATGAAACTCTTCAGCAGTGAGCATCCACGATCCCGCATGTGGGATCATATTTAGGATGAAACGGCTGTCAGGTGCTTCCAGATTTTCAATGATAGTCTAGCTCAGATCGACTCATGAATTCAACTGTTAAAATTCATAGTTTTTTATTTATTTAAATACATGCCCAATGGTACAAAGGACTATATTAAAATATATATGCGCCACACAAATAATTGAATTTCTGAGTGAGTCATGATACTGCTCGTGTGCCCAAGCCGAAGCAGGTAGCTTTCTGAGGTCACTACCCAAGCCTTTGACCCAGAGGTCTAATCCACGAGGTAGTGTGACAATGTTAGGAGATGCAGTCCCATGATAGCCGGTGAGTAACAGTGGGATCAGATGACATTTGTCACCTCAGGATCCTAGAGTACATAAGCAATGCTGCTTTGGAATTAGGGTTTTCCAACGCCCATAGGTGGGTCCTCCGTACCCACTAACTTGGTTTATACACCGAACATTTCCCTTAGTCCTCTCAATTTTGTAAACAAAAACTGCGCTGCAAGAAGGCAGTGAGTAAGAATTCCCTGACAGTGGCTCTATGCGGATGGCCATACGAGAACATTTCGAGAGGGAGAGCGGACTCTATCAACCCTCAGCCGTACCAGGGCATTTAAGAAGCATATTCGGCCAAGAATGTGATAATATACAATAATACCAATGTAAGTTTTCATATGCTTTGATTTAAATAGGTTAATTAGGTGTATGAACAAGTAAAAGCTTATCATAAATCAACAGATTATTAAACTATACAAAGTATTTTAGTTAGAAATTGGATAAGCTACGTTGCTGAAAAATTAGGCTTGTGGATAAGTGCTTACAATACTCGACTCTCAGACAGTAGATTACAGATCAGAACAATTTTTCGGCTAATTAAGAATTTAGCAAGCTGAATAAAATTGCTAAATCTCATGCAAAAAATGTGGCTCAAAATCAGTCAGCCATACGCAGCGTAAAACCTGATACATATGTGCATCAATTCAGATTATTAGGCCACACCATCATAAGATGGAACTATCAAGATGAATACCAAAGTAGTAGAAGTGATAGTACTATTAATAGTAAAAAAAATTCGGTGCAGAGGATATGAATTGAGAAGGCTAAATAAATTCACATAATAAAAGGTATGAAATGATTTTGAAAGTTAGGATCTATGAGAATATAAAGAGTGAATACGATTGGTTTTGACCCTTATCATTCATTTTCAACTAATGGTCACGACAATCACGTGAAACCCAACCAGATAGCCTGTACCTATCAAGAATTATCACATCAACGGTCAGCAACTTCATGTAAAGGTCCTAAATTTTGGTTTCAGTACTCCTAGTTTTATTCTCAACTATACACTAACCTTTACTCAGTAAGTAAGTTACATTTAAAAACGTAGAAACTGGTTTTGATAACAATAAAAAGGTAGAAACTGATCTTAATTAAAAATGAAGTAAACCTTTGGCTTACTCTTTTGAATAAATGTAATTTACATTTAATATTTACTCAATAAAATTAAAACTCGGCGAAATATTGTTTGTCAAACGTGTGTACCTCTGACTATCTAAAACTATTCATACAATTTAAAAAACTTTGAAATAACCAAAAGAGCGGGTAGACACAATTTACATTAAAAAATATCACAAATACAAATAAAAAGTAATTTATATTGATGGGTACTCCCTCACTTTATTATCCATGTTAGCAATATTAGTATTTGACTCTGTAGCACCATAAAATTCCCCAATCTGTTTAACATTGAAACGTTCTTGAAATGCTTTCCATATTTGTGGTCGTAGACCATTACCGAATGCAATTCGTACATGATGTTGTTTATCTGTTGGTCTTACAGGTTGACATAAAAGATAACGACATATCTCTCCAATGTATTGAGCAACCTGAAATGGGAAAAAAAGAAATTTGATTTAAAGAGAAAAAAACAATAATTCCAATTTAATTGTAGTTGTTATGAAAATTATTTTAAAAACGATTGGTCAGAAAGTACAGACAAGTGTAAAATGTGTTGTGACGGATAGTGTCTGAAATCTGATACTGATACACTGTGTAGTACGCGCTGATCCCTTCCACCCGAATGACTACTTAAGTGAGAAAGGGTACTGGGCTATCAAATAAAATGCACAAATACTAATTCATATATATACCACTCAATTCTTAGGGAATTGACCCATTTCTTAGCCAATGAAATGTATTTATCCTTTAGGTTATCCCTGATTGCCAATGACTGACCTTCTATTACTTCTGGTCGTCTCTCCATATCCAAAATAGCTTTTACATAAATGAACTTGATCCGTTATATGGAAGTTTGTAGATATGATTTAACATTCTTGTTTATATTATAATAATTGAAAAATAAGCAAATAACTATCCAATGCTTCTTGACTTTTAACAATTGTCTAAATAAAGTTAGCAGTCTGTGATATAAACTTTAAAAAAAAAAAAGAATTCGGCATAAATAACATGAAATCATCAATGAAAGTTGAATATATAACGGTTAGGAAATGAAATACAATGAATTGATCGATATAAACAAATCAATGGGAATAAGACAATTTCATTCCATAGTTACATAAGCTAATCTACAAAGTTCAAACTTTTACAAACTAATTTTACATAAATAACGGGAAATGAAGTGCAATAAAATTGATTTTTAGAGATAATTTACTGATTAATTAATTGATTAATTGGGGAAAAAAGTAAAGTTCATTGATATATCTTTATTACTTCTAATAACGATGTGACTAATCGAAAGGAAAAACAAAAGGAATATAGTGACTCCGTCATTATATATCTTATTATTATTAATATTAAAACAAGGTAATTATATTGTGGTGTGTACTACTGATGTTGACAGATATAAGTAGTAAATATCACTAATCAGAAATGGAATACCTGGAGGTAAAAGATTGAGAAAATCGAAGAGAAAAGAACGAGAACAGAGATTGATTAGTATGGAAATGAAGGGGCAACAAAGTCTGAGACAATTGATGAATATTTTGCAAAGGAAGTATTTAATGTATGGATCTCATAATTTACCAAGATCTTCTGTAATGTTGTATTAGAGTACATTTGGTTGTCCCCATTGGTGTTCTCTTTCATGACAATATTAGTTGTCAGTAATATGAATAGTAATAATAATTATTACTATAGTAATGATAATAATAATTAGTAAAAGTCAATTTTATTAATTTATATTAAGAATTGGTGTACAAACTAAACAAAATTACATTATAAACGAATAATCCATTACTATAATGTACTTTTTATTTAAAAAACAGGGATCCATTTACAGAATAAAGAATAAAGAATGCATTTATTGAAAAACCGATATAAAAGCATTCATAGGCTATTAGTACATATTCAGTAGTTGATTCAATGTGCATAACAAGACGGTTTGAATATTGTATTAGTTGTAAATATAGATAAATCGAATTACAATGAACCACCACCGAGTAAGCAACCCCTAGGTTAAGAATAGAGTCCAAGGTAAAGATAACAAATAGATTGATGAGGTATTAAATCTTCATCAAATGAAGTGGCTGAGATATGTGTTACCTATACCTAATCACCACATAACTCGACGATTGATGTTTTGTAGTGTAGGAGTAGACTGGAAAAAAAGGGGCAGCCAAACCAAAACATGGCATTAGTCCATAAAGTCACTGGCAATCGGACTAAGCCTTGTTAATAGGCGTAGACTGCCTAGTTGGAATTTGTATGATTATCATAACCAATGTTTAGAGACTTTGAATGACACGGATCGAAATCATTTGTGATGGCGTAGATGTATGCATTCTTTGTTCTACCCCCGAAATCTGAGCTTCCGAATTCTTCATAAAATTTCTTGTTTTTATTTCAATAATTTATATATTCTTGAACTGTATTTTCGATGCCTAATCCTTTTAATCCCTATTCATACTGTCACTACCTCTACTATACTGGGGTTTAGTCTGACAATTTCATCTCTATGCTAATGGGGTATGTCAACTTGAACAGATGCGAATAAGTACTAGGTTCAACACTGTGACCGACTGACATTGAATGGTGATGAATGATCTCATATAATACAACTTATTAGTCTGATTGTCACTTTCTCCATAAACAAAAGTTGTAAAATTAATTTAAGGGGTTTATGAAGATAGTTGAACACGAAATGGTGAACTTTAACCGTACAGTTGTTTACCAATGGCACTGGAAGATGATTGAGTTATATTGACAATTAATTATGATTAAAAATGTAAATTATTTGATGTCAACTCAGTGGTCTAAAAGTTCAGTGCTCAAGGTAAAAGACGAAGACATTAGCTTAAATCAACAGTACAATCGTTGATATACACCTCTGAGAAAGCAATTGTTTAATACATCCCAGTTTTTAATGACTGTCTAACTAAGGTTAGTTCAGATATCAACTAAAAACGTTGTAGAAGCTAAACAGATAAATCCGCCTTCTTATGATCAGTTTAATACTTCCATCTAAGAATGATAGGATGTACAGTAAAACAAAAACAATAAGAAAGTTAATTTATAGAAGAACTGAACATTATGAAAGGTTACACTAATATATAGCATATTCTTGTCATAATTACGTCAAAATTTGACCCATTGTTCATATACATACATGAACAAATGCTGTTATGATTCATTATTAATACAAACAGATACATCAAACGCCAGTGCATTTCAAAAACATGTAGTTGCATTTGTAAAGCAAAGGAAATTAAATGATACAAATACTACTACTACTACTACTACTACTACTAATAATAATAATAATAATAATAATAATAATAATAATAATAATAACAATAATAATAATAATAATAAACGCTATTCCAATGCTATAAAACAAAGCAAAACAGTTGTTTAGAGTATCATCAACGATAGCGCACTTTTTATGACAGTTTCATTGATTTGCAAACTGTTCAATAAGATTATTTACCAGGTTAATGATGGAATAATGAAAAGAAGTAATTTTTTAATAATATAAAAGAAATAGTCAATTCATTAAGTGTATTTAAACTAAAGAGAAATTAAAACCATAACATTTCTAGGGAAACATTGAACTGAAATAGTATAGCTAATATGTTTATCGTACAATAAAATAAGTGATAATGAAATTTCCCATTCAGATATTTAATAAAAGGATAAACCTATTAAAGTAATACCAATCACTAAAGCCATAATATTGTTATTTATTTATTTATTTATTCATATCTTAGGATAATTATCACTTTGTTTAATTGTTTTGTTAACTAGTCATAATTATTTTCATAAACAGGTGAAATTGTAATGCAGTTTAATATATTACTACATGGTTGATATATTTTACGATCATTAATATTACTATTATTATTATTGCTATTACTAAATATAACTATATTACAATATTTGAAATCATGAGTCAATTGAAGCTAGACCACCATGGAAAACCTGGAAGCACTGGACGACCGTTTCGTTCAGCAGTGCGCATACATGACCCCGCCCCCCCCCGCGAGATTTGAACCCAGAATCTATTAGTCTCGCGCGTGAGCGCTTAACTATATTAGTGTATAGACTTAATGAAAGACTAGTTGAAAAGAAATATTTCTTTGTCCTATTCGTCTGTTTTAATAAATGATGAACCAAGGTGAAAAATTAAGGTTACAAAGTAGTAATTACTTTTGCTTATTGTAATACACATAAACGAGAATTAGATAAAAGCAATAAATAAACAAACCAGTAACACAAAAAAGATATAAATATTACAAGAAAATAAGTATTAAATGTAAAAATCAGTACTTAATACTAGTAATAATAATTACAGAATTCACGCCAGTTTACAGGCATGACCAATTTGACATAAATAGTAACATACTATCGCCTCTAGTTGAGGTACGAAACCACTGTGACCAGCAGTGCATGTTAATGGTTGCCGAGACCTCATCATTACATGACTGACAACTACCGGTACTCCAGTTAATCCCAGGATAATTGAAACCCCCAGTGATAACCTTAGCATTAAAATTTAGAGCAGATGCATGTATGAATGCATTGATAACAAGATCATTCCCATTAATCGAACTATCAGGGGCTCTGTATATATATCCAAGGAGTAGACTATGACTCACGGTGTTGACTGATATCCAGACTGATTCCATTAAACTATTCAGGACACTATCTTCAACTTTATTAGTTGTTAGAGTATCAAAAGCATATACAATACAACCACCTCCTCTCTTAGTTTCTGTCACAGAGATAGAGTCTATAGTTCTGGATATTTAATTCTGAATCAGATACTGCTTGAGAGCACCATGTTTCAGTGATAAATATGAAATAAGGCTTGACTAGGAAAGCTAATGTTCTCAAGCCTGAAATTTTGTTCAGAGGTGAATGTGAATTGATAAGTAATAAGTTGAAAAAGGAAGTATGGAATGTAAAACAACCGAGAGCATTCCTATTGATGTTGTGTATTTTGAATTTGCATAGACTGTGGTATATTTTCTTTGACTGATCATATGGGCTATCGCTTGAACAAACTGTAGTGCTAGTGGGAACAGGAACTTCTGAAGGCCGAAAAAATCGTTATTTTGATAAAGTGCATTAATTTGTTGAACCTGACTAGGCGGACAGTTAAGACAAGCACCTGCTAGTTGGGGTTGAGTTGATGATGAGTAACCTAGTAATCCATCTTGCCCAATGGAAAAGTGTTGAGAAAAGCTACGTCTTACAGGTTTATTATTTTAAACGTCTAAGACTTATATACTACGCTGTATTTAAATAGTGATACTGTAGTGAACAAGAACAAGAGTGGGGACAATCGAATGTATTTGACACGGAATTACAGAGCATCTAACTAAAATCTAAGAACCATATAGCAAAAATTTAATTTGCAAAATATCAA